TTGTCATTGTGCACTTCCTATTTTACTTTTTGGTGTGACACATATTTTGGGTTTCCCACAGCAAAACATGGACATTGTCATTATATTCATATGGGAGGCGGGGGGTATCATTTAGTGAGCTTATTACTCACAGTACCTCTAGTTTTGATCAGATTCCCTGGAGCTGAGTAAGGACTTAAACCCGCCTTGTTTATAAGTATGACTTTACAATGTCATGAACAGGGGCTTTCAATGAATATAATATTCAAAATGGATTTATACAATGGGAGAGATCCTCACTTGATTTTACCAGCATATCTTGCTTTTTGGAGTTTTTTTTTGACGTGATTGATTTTTCACACCTTGACTACAAATCGAAATGAACAGTGTATCCATTTTCTCTCTGAATCTATGTTGATATTAAAAGACGAGTACTCTGGATGCATATTATTTCTCTTAGCCGGTTTCAGCATTTCTTAATTAGGTCTATTCCAGTTTTTAGGGGCATACTCTATAGAATACTGGAAAAGGAAACCTGTCCCCCCCTTTTGACGTCATATCCAAGGCCTTATTTGTTTGAACACTCTATGTAAAATTTACGATAAAATTTCATTGAACTTGTAGAATGTAGTAAAAATTCCATATCTTAAGGAACAATTGTATCCTAACACATACCTGAATTAACGGGATTTTTGGATGTCAAATTTTCAAAATGCTATTCCTCCTTCAGTTTTGGTCTGATTTCATACATAATTCTATATATCGGTTTTTGATTTCGATGAACGGTGTTGTCGTGGTTACTAGAAATAGAAATTTCTGTAAAATACTTTCAAAATGCTACTCCAAATATAGTTTTAGTCTGATTATAATATAATTTGACATGCAAGTGGACTACTCTGAGAAGCATAATTATCAGTTTTCTGTTTTTGATTTTGATGAACGATGTTGCCATGGTTACTAAAATTGGTTATTCTGTAAAATTTTATTAAAAGCTACCCCTGCAGTTGTAGTCTTATTGCAACCTTGCCACAAAAAGAGACTTAATCAAGGATCATTTTCTATTTACTGTATACAGGGTTATTTTTGCCCCATATTATATTTAACCTTATACACTTCCTAACAATTTTGCCCTGTTTTAAATTCGCCCATTCACATTTCTTTATAAGAAATTACACAGCGTTCTTTGATTTGCCCTGTTTTAAATTTGCCCAAATGTGACTAGGGTGAATGAATGGGGCGAAAATAACATGAGGCGAAAATTTCCCTGTATACAGTATTGCTTTTGTTAAGTTTTATGTACCAACTGCTACTTTTCTCTCCTTTATCATAAGTAAAAACCAGTAGAGCTACAGTCTCGATAGAGACTTCTGGTTTAGATAGAAAAGATGATGCTAACTAGATATTTTAAAATTCTTTGATGTACCTAAAGCGGTTTTAATTTTATGGCTCTAGTCCACAAATTTTTTGATAACCCCTCGTATGATATGATAAAGCGGAAAATAAAAACTCATGAATTTCATTTCCTTATAAAAGATTTTTGAACGATGTAGTTTATCAGATATATGGTATGGGCAATATTTTATAACGTAGAATGGATAACTGCTACAGTCAAACAAAGATTAAAAGATCAATATATTCAAAAGAGGAATAGTGAAGTTCAAGAATCTTCAAAAAGTTTAAATTATAGAATTTAAAAAACCAACTTTAGTGCGAAAAATATTTAACACTGTTATAATATAAAGAAAAAAAACTTTTGTTGAGTTTAGAACCACAGATCACCACTTTCCAAATGAAACAGGTGGATGGAATGGTACTAAAAAATTGAATGATTTTGTAGCTTGTGCAGTAGTAACCAGACAAAAGATGAGTATCGTTATATTTTAGAATGTAGTGCTTTAGACCAATTGAGGAAAGATTATTTGAACCAAAAATTTTGTTCTAATCCAAATATTATCAAGTTTTGTGAAGTCCTGTGCCAAAATGATTCCAAATGAACCAAATTAAATACCCTTAGCTATCCAGCAAGCTATTGACAACTTGATCGGTATAACCGTATTTAGTAATTCGCTGTAAATAAATTTGATCTTCCCCGATGTTTCTTGAGAAAAAGATTAAATAACCTAACCCAAATACATGTTTTAGTATGTCTTAACTATCTCCCATTGAAAGAGGGTGGTCCCTCATATCATTTGAACAAATTTGAATACCCTTTACATAAAGATACTCTGTACCAAATGAATTTAAGGCCCTGTCACACCCAGCTGCGTTTACACGGAGTCTTTACGGCGTTGTTAAATTTTTAAAATCGCCATGGAATCGCAGGAAAATTGCGCAAATTTCTGTAAATTTTCACAATGTGAAGATGTCAAGGCGTCCCTATGGCGACCGACGCGCTTCTACTGCGGTCTCACTGAGATATATGATCTCCAGAAGACTGCGCTTCCGCGGAGTTTTCATGGCGTGTTAGGAGTTGTCACCTCGTGTTCACGGAGTTCTCACTGCGCTTGCTGCGTTCACAGTACGTTCACAATGCGTTCTATACTCATTGATATATATTCAGAAGGAATGTAAAACATTTTTGTTTAAAGACTTAAGCTTCACGATGAAAAGACTTCGAATCATGCCAAAAAAAAATTCTTAATATATAAATTAAAAATGTTCTATTTAAATAATTACTAAATTATAAATAGTTTTATGATAAAACTCCTTTTTTTCAATTATATCGGTTCAGATGTGTTGTTAAATTTTCTTTGATTTTATTATGAATGTAAAAAAATATAAACACACTGAAAAGTTTTCTACAAAATTTAAGTGAAACAATAGAACAAGTTCTGGTGTAATTTTCACTTCCATGATTTACTTAAATGCTCCTAGTGTAACAAATACGTTGGAATTATGATCTCATTGCTCTTGTTTTGTGAGCTGGCTGACAACGCTCTAACAACGCCGTGAAAGCGCATTGTGATTCGGGAGCGCAATGATTGCGGTGACAACTCCGTGCTGTCGCCGTGTAATCGCAGTCGAAAAAATCACAAGACGATATATCTCATTAGAAGCGCAGTAAAAACGCGATAGAAACGCAGTGACATCTCCAAGGGCTCCGCGACATCTCCGCGAGGTCTCCGTGGAAGCACAGTCTACTATCACTGCGTTCGTGCCGCGATCATGTGCGTCTTCACGGCGTTCGTACGGAGCTCCCACTACGTCGTTGCAGATCTCACTGCGCTGCTACGGCGATCAAACTACGTTTCTACTGCGTTCTTATCAGACAGCGATCATACGGCGCGTACTTTGTGCATGCCCAAAAAGATCGCCGTCCTCTGGCGTTCTAGGAGACCCTACGCGACCCTACGGCGTTCAGTGGAGATCTCGCCGCGTTGTCACGGCGCTGTAGGAGACTCTACTGCGATCACCTCGGCGTTTTGCATTTTTTGAGGACGCCGTGAAGTCGCCGTGAGGACGCAGCCCCGGTGTGACAGGGGTTTTATCGAACGGTGCTGCAAAGTGAAAAGCTAACGACAACGACAGCGACAGTCACTAATTTTGACCAGAAAAGATCACTTGTGCCCATAGGGGTTCTGCAAAATTCTCAAAACAGAACATATTTCAAAATGTTGATATGTTCAGGAAAGTTATTGCGAACAAAGAATGTGATATATTTTTGGTTTATATATGGTTAGCTTGTAGAGAAAAGGTTATCGTCAGCGTAACGAAACCGAACAATAAATTAAAAGTTCCCTACACTCATGACCGACGCGCTTGGAAACATTTTAAATTATAAGACATTGGGTCAAAGGTTGTGTGTAAATCTACCAATATGTGTATACATGCTGGCTGTCTTATTGTTATCAGTTAAAGTGAGATTTTGTAAAGAGGACCAACGACCTATTTTTCACCTTTTGATATTTCACCGTGTCTGTGGAGCATTTAAATACATGTAAACGCAAGTCCCTCAGTGATCCTAGCTACCCGTGTATACCTCCAAACTGTAATTTCACAATTCTTCAAGATTGTGCCTAAAGTAGAAAATGCAATGTCAATCGGGCACCCTTCCAATTCACTTTAAAAATTGCATTTATGCATTTCATGACATTTTGATGAATTCCAAAAAGAAAGACAAACCAACATACTAAATATCAGAAGTCATGACTTTTCGGTCAAAAGCTTTCCTTGGGACTATGCAGTGCTTGGAGCGTCGAATATGACATTACTGTTGATTTTTATGGTAATTTGAAAAATTTGTATGAATTTCTTCAAATACAAACCGAAGAAATATTACCTTGATATGTTCATGAATGAGAAATTGCAACGTTTTAATTAAATTACTGTGTCAAGGGCCAGAATATACACCGACACCACCTTTGGATATCGAAACATGATTTGATTTAGGGTTTTTGATGTACACCGCGTTAATATACTTCACAAGTTGGTGAAATGTCAATGAATTTTGGATCAATGTTTGGTGTAAGCAATGTAAATCGTTTCATGGCCACTCTAAACATAGATATAACACTTTACATATTTTGCAAGTCAGCAAATCGATTTATAATCAGTCAAAAGTATCAGTATCAAGGACATAACGATGCAAGACTTTATCTACAAGTGTAGACTGATATCAGACGCAGTCCGTTACACTGGAGTAAAGCTGACCCGTTTGTCTGACAGCCTATTGTTTACAGATAGTTACAAGTTATTTGTTAATGTTAACCTTAACAATTCAGACCAAGTGATGTAGACGCTCTGATGAAAGTCTTATCCACGTGAACAAGGTCACAATAATGACATACATAGGCATTTACATGAACACAATAATTTGTATATAACACATAAAAAGCATTTCAAGAACTGAACCGAGATCCTAATGAACCATCGTATCAAGTCACTGTTCGGAGTCCGCACAGAACGGAAGATAATATTTTGGCCGTGGTTTGCGACGATATTTAAGAACCTCCTTTAACAGTTTTAAAGATAATGCTCAGCCAATCTTTAAACATGGTGTAATTGAAAATTGCAACAAGGAATTGCCACCAGAAATCATTTATTGCCATTCAAATCTTTTTACATAACACAGCCATCGATTGATAACAACAATGTGTTGTCATTCATATACTGTAGATACTAACTAAACCTTAACCTGCCTGAAAGTTTGAGAAGTGAGAGTTTGCAAGATTTACAGATAAAAGAAAGAAAAAGGTATGTGCGGCAGTCCAGTTTAGTAATTTCTACAGGTCAAATACACAGCCTAATGGGACTAAAATGAAATTATAACAAAAATACATAACAACAATGACATGAAAAAAAGTTATAAAAATTTGCATGTATCACCCACTTTTTCTTCACACCTTCTCTCTTATAATTGGATTTCTGATCTCTCTCTTTCATTTAAGCTCATTCAGATCTCATTGGAATGGAATTTGTAAAATCTGAGTGTTAAAGCAAAGTTTTCCTTTTGCTAAACTTGTTTCACAGTTAAAGATCTATTCCTCCTTTTACATAGTAATATCAGTCTCTCTCACCTGATGATTATAAATCTTGGCAAGTATAAGTCACTCTTCTTCAATTATATATAAAAAGAGTATTTCAAATAACAACTTATTTACAATATACAAACTTATTCACAATAACTGACCAGTGCCTTTTGCAAATATTTGTTCTTTTTGTATACATATATACTAGGAGGGAAATGAAATCCTTCACATAAATAATCAATTAACAATATTACCCTTAAGATTTGTCAACAAATTAAAAACAAAAAAAAAAAAGAAAATGCTGAAATACAAATCTTGGCGAAAATTATGAAAATTGGTCAGAAGAGAAATTTAAATGCAGCAAAATCTTCAAATTATATATTAAGAGTATTTCAACATGCAATTTGATAAACAACAAATCTTTTTGCATTATTTGATGCATATGAGGTATGCACATCGTTTTACAATATACATTATGAATTTAGCAATCTTGGCACAGTTTACGGAAATAAAAAAGGCAACATCGGTTTACAAAGCAAGTGCCTTTTGCAAATGACGATGACGTTAACACGAAACAGAGCCATGTTAGGAGCGGGCTTTGTTACCACAAAAACAGCCATTTTAGATGATTATAATCATTACATTCATATATACAATTCCGCATTTAGGATTTTTGAGCCAGGACTGGCGCAATGAAATCCTTCAATAAATTATTAATTATTACAAATGCACAGGAAAGACTTGAAGATGAGAGTTTGATTTTCAACAAATTCAAATGGGAATTTGGCTATATCTTTTTGAAAAATTTTAAAAGTTAGATAGGAAAACTAAAAATGAAAAACAAATTTAATTTAAAATATATATTAACGTGCGATCTTAACACATGGTCCAATTACATTTCAACAAAACTGTCTATTAATATAATAAATCAGTGGAATTATGCTGCCTGAGACTTTCCGTATCCCTTGCTTGGGTGGAAATTCACTAAATTCCATACAAACACAATGTTACAAAATTATTATATAATTATATACAATCAAGATCTTTGTCTACTTTAAAATAAAAATAATCAACATCCATATACAGTCTACATAATGCTTGTTAAACGTGGGTACAATTGTAACTGAAGATTTTTATATATTTTTTTTAACATTTTATTTTATGAACTTTTTTTGGTTCTTTTAAACTGAAAATTAATCTGACACAATAAAACAAAGCTTAGTATGGCGGTTGGTGGCATATTTATTAATTTTTTTTTTGTCCTTTGGGGTTGAGTTTTCCTTTTCCTCCAGCCAGTATGGACACATGTATTTAACTATTTAAAAGAAATAAAAGTCACCTATATATGGTTAAGTCAGACAATAACATAAATAGGCCACATTATGTAAAATTTCTCACCGGAGACTTAATAGCACCCTTTCCATGCTTATTTTGCCTTTTAGTTTAATCAAACATCAAATTTAAACAATTTGCTATGCATTAATACATGTGTATACACATACATAAACATAATTCTTGAATTTTGAGAAAAAAAAAAGTTCATTTCAAAAGCAATGCAATGGGAAGAACTAAAAAGACAGAAGTGAAGTGGCCACTGAATGAATACAATAAATAATAAAACTCTAAAAACATAACAAAATTATAACAACTTTTGTAGACAAAAAAACTAACTAATTTTCCATACAGGCTGGGGGAAATAATTCTGTACCATCATCAATGCAGAGTCTTTAATCTGAACAACTTGAAAGACTTGGTTGAACAAAAGCTTATCTGTAATTTTTCGGGTTAAAAAAAGAGCTTTTTTGTGGCATTCCCTAGATCTTTAAAATTACCACAACTGAAATATATAAAAATTGGGCCAAATATTGTAACTAAATATTTATAGGAAAATAACTATTGCAATGGTTCTGAAATAAAAATTTGTCCTGATTGCCTGATTGTCAAGATATAATTAATCTACCTCTCTGAACTATTTCTTACTAAAGCCTCCCCACCCCCATCCCAATTTTTTAAGGATTTGCTGAAATTAATTTTTTTTATCAAGTCAAATAACTTTCAAAAGAGATAAGCTTTGTCAACCAACAGAACAGAAATGTTCTAATTGGCGCTGACAGCAGCTACAAGGAAACTGTTTCTTCCGTCAGTGTCTTGGTGCTGAACCACCTCCGAGCTACATGACTTCCTCACAGTAGAGCTGGTGTCCATGGAGTCCTCGTTGTACAGACGTTTGATGCCATCGTACAGATCTTCCTCTTCGTCATCCACGGCCTTTCTCTTGATCGACTTGGAACGCTTGATCACTCTAAACTGATATCCAGAGGGTAGAAGTCCATGCTTGGACAAGTACAAACCAATCCTTTCACGACAGTGAAAGAAGGTTTGATTGTTGACCTGTAACAAAAATCAAACACTTTTATATACATTTGTATAAAATGTCAAAAAATATTATCAATGATAATGAACAGATAATTTATCTAGATCTAATTGACATCAAATTGAAGATATCTGATTTAGACCTGAGAACAGTGATAATATAAGTTTTTTTTTTTTTTTTTTTTTTTTTGGGGGGGGGGGGGGGGGTCACAATACACAGCTATCTTCAAAATGAATTGTTAGTACTCTCCCTACCTCTGCCACTTGCTGGACTGTGTGCACTATGGAGAACCAGTTTGGGGTAATTTGTTCCAGCTCTAAGCTCACAGTGGACAACACCAGGCTGATGGGGCTGAAGACTGCCAGTTGGTGGTTTCCCAGACAATGGAAGACCTTCCGCATCATCATACTCAGGTGCTGTGAGGGAGTCAGGTTGCTCAGTCCATCTAGCAGTTTGGGGTAATAACACATCAGCAAGCCATGGATCTGTAAAGGATTTATTGAAAATTAGCTTTTGGGAGAAACATCAATAAATTGATAGAACTATGATCACATGAAAATGAAAAATTGCACAATATTTCTGAACAATCTTTTGAAACCTTTTCTCCACCTGCTTCACTTTTATATCTAATTTACATTATAACCAAGACATTATATTAATATTTTATTAATGCATTGATGCATTTGACTTACAATGTGAAGAAGATCCACTGCTGTGACCTGTTTGACATTCCAGGAGAGTTTATTCAGGATAATGGCCTCCATCCTGAGAACTTCCGACACAGAGCAGACACATCTGATCGTCTTCACAAGATCCTTGGTGCTGGGTATTACCTATAATAAAAGATTATTGTGTTAATCTTCCTGAAACTCTTTAGTGAGACAAACAGAATTTTTTACATCCATACTTCAACTTTTGTGAAGAATACAAATTTAAACATACCTCATCTTCTTCCAAGGTTTTTGCTGCGATGTACAAGCAGCAGATGGCTACACAGGGTAGATACTTGGGGCGGACCTGGCAAAGGTAAAAAAAACTTATTGTCAATTCATTTAAATGAAAAAACAGTTTAAAATGCATGAATTTTATTCAAAAGAAAACCAACTCAGGGATAAAAAGCTAAATAGTTCCTTTAAATTTGTGCTCAAAACTTTGCCAAAATTATTCATGATCACAAAAACAAAGTTTTAGTTTTCTTATACATGTTAAAGATTTCAATCTTGTTCCCTTTTTAAAAATCATGAAAATCTATCAAAAACATCTGGTAATTTTTCAAAGGAGCAGTATTGCCTCTCTTAATAGTAAATTTTTAGTCTAGCTCGATCCCTGAAGATAATTATTAACATATAAGGGTAAACAGAATGAAATGAATATTAATGTAAATCAACATAACATTCATAACAAACACTCAGATTTTAATCTGAATTGCTAATTAATGAAATGTGTGAATAAAAAATGCATAGATTCCCAAGAATGAAAGATTGAGGAAATTACCTTAACAAGATTCAGAAAGCGGTCAAGGAGACAAATAGCCAGTCCAAGGGTTTCAGGTGTAAATCGGAACTCAGCATTCAATGACAAAATCCAACCAACAACCTTATCTCTCTGTAAACCCAAGACCTCCTATTAAAAAAAGACAGAAGATAAATTGAATACAATATTTTTCTTAAATATGTGTCTTTACTTTTTTGTTGTGACAATACAGTTGTGACAATCAATGGTTAGATTACATTTAAAATTTAATTGATCTGTTTCTTTAAAAATCTTAAAATCCTAATGCATGTATTTGATATGAATTTACCTTAAATATAAAGAGTAATCATTAGTGTAACAACTCCCCCTACAACCAGTGGCAGCCATTTTGGATGCCAAAAAAAAAAAAATCACTGGTATTGTGCTTGAATTAATCATGTTTTGATATGACAAGTAATTAATAAAACAGTTGCTATTTTTAATTCACTGGTGGAGATATTTATTTTTATATTCCACAAACATGACATATATAATGTGTGCTTTTATAAAACACCATCATAAAATACAAAACACTGTCATCGCCATGGCATTCGTGACATTTGTGCATGTTTTAACATAAACATGTAAAACCAGTAGTAGGAAACAATGAATATATTAAAACCTATTGACATGGATTGGATTTTTAAAGTTTGCTTTGAATTCCCCGATACTAATGACAAAGGTTGTTAAAAATAAACTAACTAGAAATGACCGACTTGGGCACCTGCCAGCAATCACTGTCAAGTTTTTCTGTGTCCCGTGATCAGTGACCTTGTAAAGCTGGGGTTTAAAACAGTCTAAAAATAGCTACTGTCTTACAGGTAAACCCAGGTTATATTTACAAAACTATTCAATTCCATATTTTTACATTGATTAACACAAGTTTTCATGTTTCTTCCTTCTTTTTGAATGTGTCTCCATATTCCAAAACAATCCCATAAAATTATTTATAGGATTAAGAATGTTTACATAGAATTTAATTTTGCATAGGATGAAAAAATCAGATTTGTACAAAATGGGCTTTGAACTTGGTCAAATCATGAACAAGGACCAATAATTTACAATATTTCAAGTATATATAAAAAAATTAAAAAGCTCAGTTTCAGGACTGGAGACATGAAACATTTTTAATCGACCTTTCTAAGGCTCAAGTTTACGAAAAATGCCCCAAAATCAATAAAATTTACGTAAATTTCAGAGCAAATCTGTGATTATTTTGCAGAAAAATTAATGCCTAGGTAAACAATAAAATATTTATTCTTAGCTTTCTTACAAAATAAATTCCATTAAATGTCCGTTGATGACAAAGGAAAAAACTGTGCTTCATCAAGTTAATAATTCCTCAACGTGTTATATTATGCGGTAGCCATCTTGTGAAGTTGAAGTCGCTATCGTTTACTAAAAGTAAAACCGCAACTGTATCAAAATTTAAAATACGGAAATTTTTTCAAGATCACAAGTGTAGTGTTTTACCATTAATTAGTAGATTGATAAATTGAAATAGTATTAATTTTTTTATTGTAAAAGTCGTATATTTATTTTAATGTAAAATGAGTGAAATAATTCCTAAAAAAAGTTTTACAAGCAATTATGGAAATATACATGCGGATGATAAAAAATTAATTTTATTGATATGGAGTTTTACAAGCAAAGAATTAGTAATAAATGCAGGTTACAGAAATATGATTTAAGAAAGAAATATAATTTTAACTGATATTATAAGGTTTATTAAAAGCTTCTCCGTACACAAGAAGTACACTGAATTACCGCTATACAAAGATTGGCTTCTAACGAATTTTAAACAACAGATAAAAGGATTTACACTGTGTACACGCAAAGGTTTCAACTGCTTAGCAAATCATGTATTACTGAACAAACAAAGCCATGAAATTCAAACAAAGATATACCGGTACTCTCAATTAAATTTATAAATTAAACTTGCAGCATGGTAATATTATTTCAATTCTTTACTGTTGCTTTATATATACATTCAATGGTTTTTTAGCAAACTGAAGAACAAAAATGAAAATGGCGGACATCGAAGCAACGTCCACCGGTAAATAACTAACTGAATAAACTATATAAGGAATGTGATGTTCTGAAATCAGAATTATTATGTCTCATTTAAACTTAAAATAAGAAACATATTACGTGTTATTTTTGCCTCTGGTTTAACAACAGTATGAAACTACGAAGGCATTGAACAGGCAAGTTGGAGAAAAAAAATAACACAATTCAAAAAGTTTTTACATTTTTTAAAAAACTTTATTTAAATGCTGTACTCATTAAAATATCACGTTCATGTGGACGGTAATAATAATTTCTGATACGTTGTAAAGTAGAAAACGGGAAACAAACTCCTATATAAAGGAGGATTTTTCAAAAATTAAGGCTGAAAATGAGCCTTTCGACCTATATACCCCATCGACCTATAACCCGAAAATTACGGTATGTCAAAACACAGAATGATGAATGCTAAGTAGGATTTTGATTACATTAGCCTGGATATGATTATGTCACAGTCAGTGACTGACTCAATGACAAACGTATACATGATGTAATTGTTTAGAAATTTCTTAGCTTTACTCAACATCCTCTAACTTATAACGTCATCACAATTTCATCAAACAAGGATGGATATTAAGAATTTCCTGGTTAAACAGCTGATCTATGTTTTGTTTTTTTGTTTTTTTAAACTTAACTTCAACTACAAAAGACATTCCAAGAAATAGTCTCATTTACAGAAACAACTCATTTATATAATCATTACTCTGTTTATTTACTTCCTTTTTTACATGTTTTTATGAAAAAATATCACTTGGACAATTTCTAAAAGCAAAACTTGAACATGTTGAAAGGAATTCCAATACACTTTTTAAAATGTGAGAAATCTGTTTAGGCTTTAAGTTGAACCAATTAGCATCAAACTTTTCCTTTGGTATGGTAGAAACATTTTTGGGGAGTTTAAAACATAATATTTGTCTTGATATTACCATTACTTATCACTGAATAATTAACAATAAATAAATAACAAAGTGTATGACAATTACATAATTTAACTAACAAATAACTTACATCATCACCAGCCCCCATGGACTTGTACACATTTGATGACCACTGACTGCATCTAGCAAGGTGCTCCCCAAGCATCTTCATCAGATGCCTAGCATCTAATCTTTTGTGTGACTCCATCTTGACAACCCCAAACTGCCGCACCAAAACACTGAAATGAAATTCAACTCATAATGAAATCTTGTAATTCAACAAGTATAGGCCTAGACTATTTTTACATGTTTTAAAGATGAAATAGTGGGTTGATGAGTGAGCACTCAAATATGCAATGTTACCATAGCATCTTCTAGAAATTTTTTCCAAAATTTTACATAACTTTCTTTTCTTAACTCAGATTGCTAGAAGTTTTAATACAACTGAAATACCGCTATATAAATCCATCTCAAAAACCCAGAATATTTGATAAAATGTTTTCTAAGCTTAAAATAGTCTACTGTCAAAATGGCTTCCATGATTCAGCTGATGCAAACCAACATCAGCAAAAATGTCCATAAAAATAACACTCACCTGACGAGAAAAATGGAACGAGAGTTGAACTAGGATGTTCCCCTGTTCCATTCACACTATCCTGCTTACATTGATGTTTTTAAAACTCCATCTTCTATCGAATAAACGAAAATAATAAGAGCTATGTATTAGAGTTGCGTTCCAAGAAAATTCCTTGTTGGTAAGGGTCAAATATAGTTCCTACAATATTCATCCGCAGAAAAAAAAAATTAGTAAGTTTCATTAATTAACTTCATACTGTATATGCATATGTGTCTTAATTAACCAAATATTACAAAATATTTTGCTGTAAGGATGCATATATATTTTTGGTCCAATTCATAGAAAATTCTTGAGGAATCATTAGCGCGGAGGGAGAACTACGCCCTTGGAAGCGAACAAAATTTGTTTTCACCATCGAGGTCAGAGCTGTCAAAAAAGGAAACTATGAGGTAAACTCGATGTAATCTCTTTTTTGAAGTACATTCAATTTAATTTAATGTTATGACAAGAAAAATACCATGCAATAAGATGTAAAAACGGGTAAAATGGAGATAAATCGCTTAACAATTTTATGCTGATGTTTACAAAACAAAACTATTTATAGTTCACATTTGAATAGATATATTCATCCAATGAAAGCGAGCGTTACAAATGTTAGATTGAACGAGAGAGGGTTTAAGATGTGCGCCAATTTTTAAACGTTTTTGTTGACAGCTGCCGTCTGCAAGTGGCACAATGACAACTGGAGCAGATGCACAAATGTTATCTTGAAGATATAGGCTGAGAAAAAGCTTTGCACCTCAGTGATTAAAAATGGTCCAAGAAACGGTAAATCACAGTCGTCGTGCAATTAATTTGTTGTTTTGTGAGAAAATGGGAAAGAGTCAGAAAAATCAGCTGGGACCTGGGAACCATGTCCCTTGCAAAGATTCGACAGAAAAGGTGATTGTCCATAAAGTAGATTTTTTTTTTCAATCTAAAATGTTGATAGAAGAGAAAATATTCTCTGTTTCTTGCCAAAATATATAATTTCTTATTTTACATGTTTAATGGCATTAAAGGAAACGTTTGGTCTAAAAATTTTTTTTGATATATCATTCATTGAATGGTCAATAATGAATTTTACCTGTTACTGCCATTTGTTTCAACTTAATTATATAGTAATAAAACAAATTTATAAATTAGGCTGCCATGTTGAGAGATAAAGTTATTAATTTACTTTTAGACGTATTGCAGGGTTAAGTGTAAACACTATCAGGCATAATCAAGTTGTGAAAATGTGCCAATTAAGTGTGTGCATTTTAATTTTGGATATGAATATACTATAGTAAATATAATTTCACATTCCTATGAGAGATTTAGGATAATGAAATAATAATAAAAAGCCATAAACTGGTTGGATTTAACCTTAATTAAAAACTTAGCTGCAAAGGTTGTATTATTTTACAAGATTTTAACTAAAACTTTTTAAAGTTCTTATGTGTCCAAAAAGAATGTTAATTTAATTGCTATGACTTATATCTGAAAGAAGGAATTTTATTTTTCTGCAGTCATAAACACATTGGACATGATAAGGTTTTCCCCATGCTGCTCCGATTAAGCTATTAAAACAAATTAATTAATGCAGCTTTTATTTTTTTTACAGTTTTATATATAAAAATTTTAATTCTGACCAAACGTTCCCTTTAATATTCATTGCATTTATGCAAAAAAATTTATATTACAGTGTATTAATTTACAGACACGGTTAGGACCATCAAAAGAGCATTTGCTTGAAAAACTGAGAGAAATTGTTAAGCAATTTCCAGCACCCAAACTGGTAAGATATGACATCAAATTAATTTAATTTTAAGTATAACTTTCAGATGCAGGGCCTGAGGGGGAAAAAAGGCGGGTTCGTATTTTGATTCTTTTGTTTAGGTTTAATTTTTCACTTGGCTTCATCTTGTTCTTTTGTATAACTTTTTTTCCAGTCATTTTTTACAGTGTAAATCAACTTAAACTTTAAATTTTCATTAGGGGAAATTAAGATCCTGAAATTATAAGGCTGCTTTCAACTATATCCTAACCATTTGTAATAGCCTGATATAAAAATTGCTCTCTGAGTAGTTTTGTTGTATGCATTCTGAGTAATGTATTATTTGAGCTCTAAAAGGAATACAATTCAAATGCATTTTTTAAGTTTAATTTTTGTTATAACTTTTGTTTATCATAAATCTCCATCCCTTTTAACATAAATGTATCAAGGCTTTCAATATCTATTTGCTTTTTAAATGAAATAATCATATATAATCAAGTTTTTTTGATATACAGTATTACTTTCTTCTACAGGACAACTCAATAAGTGTGCAGAGGGATAAAGCTGTCTCTACTATACGCTGCCTAACACATTTTTATAACTGCAATTCTTCAACTTATGCCATTGCAGTTAGCTGTCTAGACAGATTTCTAGCAAAAGTCAAGGTAATTTAAATAAAATATGTGCCAGAAAAAAATCAGTAGAATTTACAATATCAAGTACATTTAGTACTTGCTTTTTGTACTTTATTCAAATTTAATTGATCATGTTGATATATGTTGATAAAATTATTTTCAGGTCCAGCCAAAGTATTATTCTTGCCTTGCAACAGCCTGTTTTTATCTGTCCAGCAAATTTCATGAGGAAAATGAGGTAAACTTTCAATATTTGCATAAATTTACATGCTTAACAAAATTATCAGATTTACAAATTAACAAGTATAAAATTGTTCATGCTTTTTTTAATATCATTAAAAGCATTTTTTCAAAAATCATTTTCATTAGGATGTTCCATCAGCGACAGAGTTATCTAACTTGATGCAGCATGCCTGGAAGTCCTCCGATTTGAAGAGAATGGAGACAGTTGTCATGCAGAAGCTTGACTGGAAACTGTGGGTTCAGACTTGTCCTTCTCTACTTAAGACTTTGTGTGATATATGTACAACAACCAAGGTGCTAGATCACCATTTTCTTTCACAACTTGTCCAAAAGTTTGAGATTTGCATCAACTACAGCTCATGTGCAATATACTCTGTAAGTTATCTTTCTTGGATCAGTGCTGACATTATATGATAATATTGCAAAAAAAAAAAAAAAAATAGATTTTTGCTGCTTCTATATGTCTATATAGGATTTGTAATTTTGTTTTGTAGACTGCTTGTTTAGCACTAAGTTTACTTCAACATGGTCTGAAGGAAAAAGAATTACTGGATAATGCAATGAACCAGTGTTTATTTAATCTTCACAATGTATGCCAGGTAAAATGTTTGGTAATTTAGAAATATAAAGGGCTATGTACACTTGTATTTAAGAAAAAATATCTGTAAAATGTAAATCTTGTAAGCTGTTTCTCTTCATTAGTCCCTTTAAGTGCACTGGACGCAATTTACATGCATTTAAATTATTTATATATCACAAAAACAACAAAAATGAAAATTTTAACAAAGTAAAAAATGTATATAGATGTAGTTGTATTCATTAATTTGAGGGTATTTCCATTTAGGTTTCTGATGCTGAGCTTTATGAGTGCCATGATGCAGTGTCCCAAGTGCTTGACAACTATAGAAATAGTCCCAAGAGTCACCCCTCCTGTCTCCCGATGCCTAAACCTTTCCTTCGACCCAATCTCGTGTCCCGTCCTAGCCTCTATGGAGATTCTGAGTTACCTGCCATTGAAGAAGACCCCTCGGTGGATTTATTAGTCAGCGAGACTGAAAGGTGAGTGTGAAATTTAAAAGTGGTCATTCTTTCATAAGGGATGGGTTATATTTTTTTCTGTAATGGTTTCAATAAATATCTATCGATTTAATTGATATTCGCTTTCCACAGTTTTTATACATGTGCATGTTTGTATAAATATTGAACTGATTTTCCTTGTAGTGATAATGAAGAGATAAGAGTCAGCCATCAGAAGTTTGTGTTTGGAGGCCACAGTTGGAGTACCTGTATTTTACCTCAGAAGTCTGCAACATGCAGCCTGGAATAAATGTGCAATATTCAGCAAATGAGAGCTTTATTAGCTCAGATTGAGCTCAGTAGACATTTTATTATATTACTGAAATCAAAATTATTTATTTTTACACAAATCAATTATTTTATTTTCCACAATGGCAAGAAAGAACTAATGCTTGCAGAGACAAAAGTATTTTAGATTCATTATTTTGTTATTTATTAAATTGTGTGACTGTCTGTTATTTAAATATAAATTAATTTTTAGTGTAGTGTGAATGGATAAAGGGTTAAGCACTAAAGAACTGCTATGGTTAGTTCAAAAGTACAATGTATATTGTTTTGTTTTTTTTATTAATTTTTATTTTTATGTGTGGATGTGTACAATTGCAGGGTGGAAAAGTATATATTCAATCTGGAAATCCACTGTTGACTAGCCTAAGTAACACATATTTTATTTTATATCTATGTTTTAATGTGTATTTGTGTTTTAATGAGTATATTAAAGTGTTGAATGTGTAGATATATGCGAAAAGAAAATACACAGTATATTTCCTAGAATTGGTGCAAATAAATTTATTTTTTTGAAGCTTCACTGTGTTATGAATAATTTACAGTTTCATTATCTTTGTCCATGGATAAGAGCAAGGGCCACTCATGCACAATTCAGTATTTATCACTTGGATCCTTGATGATACAATTTTTGTCTTTAGTCAATTTAATATGACGTAATGAAAAGTGTCATTGTTTCCCTATAAATCTGTAAATTCCTTTAAACATGGCCCAAAGTTGAAGTATTATTTTAATTTTTCAGATGGAGCACAACCTCTGATCTAAAATGTGCAAATTCATAATAAAAATATGCTTCATTAAACATATTTTAATTTTTGGATCAAAGAAATTTCATTTTGAGAATCTAGGTATTGGAAGACAGGCTTTGTGAAAATGCAATATTCTTGAATTTTGCAGAAAACATCCAGATTTGATTACCTCCAGCAAAGAATTAAACTATGAGCACAACCTTTGATCCAAAAATTAAAATATGGTGTAGATTCAATTTTGTTCAAATCATGACCCACGGGAGTAGGGTGGGGCTACAATGATTGATCATTTTTTTAAATAGGAATGTATAGGGAAAATTTTCAAAAATCTTCTCAAGTACAGTAAAGCCATGATTGGTCATATTTATATAAAAGCATCCTCAGGCAGTGTAGATTCAAGTTTCTTCAAAGCATGACCCCAAGGGTAGGATGGGGCCACAACTGTCGATCAAAGTTTTACATAGTAATACATGTATATAGGAAAAATCTTTCTCATGAACAGCAAAGCCAAGAATAGTCATTTATATGATGTATATTCAAGTTTGTTCAAATCATGACCCATAGGGTAAGGGTGGGGCCACAATGGTCGATCAAAGTTTTACATAGGAATGTATACGGAAAATTTTCATAAATCATCTTCTCAAGAACAGCGAAGCCATGATTGGTTATATTTATGTAAAAGCATCCTCATGTGGTGTAGATTCAAATTTGTTCAAATCATGACCCAAGCGGGTATGGTGGGGCCAAAATGGTCGATCAAAGTTTTACATAGGAATATATAGGAAACATCTCAAGAACAGCAAAACCATGATTAGTCATATTTATTAATTATATGGTCAGGCAGCATCTGCGGGTGGTGTATACTCAATTTTGTTCAAATCATGACCCCTGTGGGTAGGGTGGGACCATAAAAGTCGATCCAAGTTTTACATATCTCAAAAAATCATAGTGCATTTAGAAGGTCTTGTCACAGGTAACATACATATTTAATAAGAAAGCCTTATCTCTTCTCATTAAAACGTTATAGTCAATTCAAATTAATGTTTAAATTTTTTAAAGTAGGTCAAACTTCAAGGTCATGGTTTCAAAAATCATAGTGCATTTAGAAAGGTCTTGTCACAGGTAATATACATATGTGTAATATGAAAGCCATGATCTCTTTTCATTCAAAGATATTACCAAGGTTCGAGTTTTGTGACGGAGGGACAGACAAATGAGATTTAATGTTCATTCGCTTTCGCAAAAACAGGGTACAAAATTGTAATTGCTCTTTTACATGTTTTAATTTTTCAATGAGTGAAACTAAGGTGCCGCCTAATAAAAAAAATCAATACTTAAACTATGCACCGGACGCAAATATCATGTTCTTTTCTTTCAGTGACCTTGAACTTGCCCTCATGACATTGGTTAAGGGTTACGATACACCCTTAGGTCATAAGCAATCTTTGTCTAAAATAGGAACTCACCAAGATCATCCATAATAAAGATATGGACGGGAACGAAATGTTTTTTTTTCTTTCAATGACCTTTAACTTGCCCAAATGACCTTGAGTAAAGGTTATGACACACCATCATGCAGGTCATAAGCAATCATTGTGTAAAATAGGAACTTAAAGTTTATCCATAAGAAAGATATGAACTGGACACGAATTATGAACTGTTTCTTTTAGTAACCTTGAACTTACCCAAATGACCTTGGGTTAAGGTCAGGTCATGACGCACCCTCAGTTCATGAACAATCTTTGAGTGAAGTAGTAAATTCTAATGTTCCTCCGTAAAAAGATATATAGACCGGACACTTTTGCACAGACAGACAGGTAATTGAGGTGATTCGACCTAAATACCCCCAAACTTTGTTTGCTGGGTATAAAAACACTCTATGCATAGGCATCGGAAGCAAATTGAAAGTGGGGGGGGGGGGGGCTAAACCAACCAAAAAAAGTTTAACCCCAGTTTTCAAAGCCTATATTATGTCTATCTTTGCAAATAAATGGGTTGTTCCGACGCCTATGCTATGCATAATGAAGGCGCATAAAGGAAAGTCGTTATTTATTTTATAAAATGATTTTATTACATTGTTTAATCTTACAAATAAGAAGAAATACTTTTAATTAAAATGTGAATATTTCCAAAAAAAAAAAAAAGAAGAAGAAAAGAGATGACCATTTTTTGACAGACTTATTGACTCTGCATGATACATTTCATACTCTCGATATATTATGCCTTACCACAATAAATATAAATTGTATACACATGTACAAGTAAAATTATTGTACATGTACAAAGTTTTTAACTTTACAAGCACGACTTATATTCCCGTATATTTGCATTCACTTATATGGAGTATGGACAATGTTATAGACCATTTTGATGCCCATCTTGTCATGTATGTCACAATTTGTATAAAGATAATATAAAGCTTTCTAAAGTAGGCCTGCACGATTTCTCAGAAGGCGTTGCTTGAATTTTATTTGTCGTCTGCGTCTCAGAGGAGGCAGCCGAAACTGAGGGAGCATGCACTGACAGCGTCCGTTTACGGGTGAAATCTTCGGGGAGGTACCGATCGGACACGGATAGGCGGGTTGACATGGGGAGTTAGGGAGCCTCAGGATGAGTGGTGGTAGATTGGGAGCAGGAGTGGTAGGGGCGGGGGTGGTGGTGGTTGTAACCTGAGCAGCCAGCTGTAACAGATTTCGGATCTCCTCGTCTGTCATCCCAGACACTCCATGACGAAGCTCACATCTGTAAAGAAGAAAATGTAAACTTGTATAGAAAAATGGTGTGCTTTTGCTTCAAAAGTTTGAGTCACTCAACAATGAACCGAAAAACATCACTTTTTGCAATAATGCTTTTAATTAATGTGGTCCTTTCACTCTTTTTGAGTAATCCGAACGAATACAAGACATGCCATAAATTGGCATAGAAAACCCCCTGAAACTTCGAGATTTCATCTATGGGAAGCACTCAAAAGAAAAAAAAATATCTTAACGACGTTTTATCAACAGATTAGTGGTACATGTAAGACATCGCTTTTTGATCGGAAAGATAAGACCTGATTCAATTCTCGTTCCCAGTGACACATGAGACCTATTAAAGACGGTTCATAGTGACTGTTCCCTCTACAATTTAAGCAATACAAAAGAAATGAAGCCATTACTCTTTCGGATGCATTACCTAGAAAAAAAACACCCCTCTACGGTATGTGCATCAGAACCCTCATTGATAAATGGCTCTAAGAATCCAACTTGGTGCCGTCTTTTAGTCCGTCATGATTATGAGTCGCAATGGACGTTAAACAACGATTCAATGACCATCGATGACCATCAATGACCATGTATTAAAATTATTATATACACCCTCCTGTCATAACCATCTTTTGTTTAAAAAACAAAATGATCTTCCAAAGTTTGGCATTGCTGGTACCGTAAATTTCTTAGCTGGCCGTGCGAATACCATCCTCACTGCGTCAGGGGGTCCAGAGTTCATTATGTGGTCGTAGATGAAACTTTTTTCGATATTTTACGGGTTTACTCCTCTATTTTTTAAAATCACCAATCATGCAGTTTTAGTCTTTAATTCATGATTTGAGAACAAAACATCAATAGAAATTAAGAAATAAGCTATAATTGATGACACCTCAATATACGACTAACAGCTAGTTCCTTGTCGCCCAAAGCTTTTAATTAACATTAAATGAAGAAATAATCAAAATTTGGATTTTCCCAAAAGAAATCACTGCAGTCAGCCTGTAAAACACCAAATGAATTTTTTTTTTTACGAGCTAGTCCCATGCAACCCCTTAATATACATGATATATAATCTCATGAATCTGTGGCTTTGAAGATACGCGAATACAATTAAGTTATACAGCTTGCAATAACGCTAAATGACTCGTGATCATCAAATCGCAAAAACGTGATTTCGCGAGTAGACTGTTAACTATGAGAATTTACATCTATGTCAGAAATTCAAAATTAAGCTTGATTCATGTTCTTTTGTGAGTGGAGCTTTCTGCTACTTTTTAAAAAAGATTAACTTGAAGAAGGGACAAATATAGTGCAACCATGTGGATCACTCGCATCCTTTGACATTTAACGTGTCTTTCAGAATGAACATTTTATAAAGAAAGGGAAATCATAAGACATCTAGCGCGATTCAGAGAGATAGAACAGTATCTACGTTATGCAACAGTCTGTGGGGAAATGACTCTTTGCATTCATATAACTTTCATACATATGTAAATTTAATTGGTTGCATTAGCACAATTCTCTAAGTCCCATATATCGCATAGTGCATCGACTCGTTTAACCGGGTGAGTTCTATTATTCGTTAATATTTCACAAAATGGCGTGATGAAAAATGTATCGATACATATACTGACCATTAGGTGAACTCTGCTAAATATCCACAGGAATTGATTCAAAACAATACATCATACAATCTAAGAGCGCTCCGAAATTACCTTACAAGAATCAGACAATACAATTCTTTCCAAATAAATCAAAGTCGTCTGGAATCACTGATGAAGCTAGCCCTTAGTAATTCCTATATAATGGGATCTAATCATGATATTCATAAGATACAATGTAGGAACTGATTTTATTAATGTGCCATTTAGCCCAAGTGAACTAATTCGTAATTATAATAAAAGAATAAGGGTTTAATGGAAATGGCAAGGGAAGAACTAAATTGTAAATTCATTTGAGGTATGATTAAAGTATGGTAAGAATTCAGCACACGCAATCCCTCTTGGAAGAAGTTATTTTTAACAGAAAATTGGATAATTAATTTTAAAAAGATAATAAATACACTTGACACAGATATTAAAAGAATCACTCTTTGGTTAAAAAAAAAGATATCAAATTCATAATACCTGCACGTATCCTCGCTAAACCGAGAGAAGCCTGGGCAATTGTCGTTTTTCTGGGCACATTTGCAGGTGCACGTGTCCTCGTCCCACACGTGAAGGTCCGTGGGACAGGTCCTTCTATTGCGGCAGATACAGCTGCAGTCTCGCGAGACGTAGGCCTGCGTCACGGGATTGCAGTGCTCCGGCTTCACCTTACACTGCACTCTTAAAAAAGTTTTACTTAGTAGTCATTTTTTACTTGAAATAACAAAGATAAGTAATAGATAATTACTAAGCCTTTACTTAAAAATTTAAATCAATTACTGAAACATATGTAAATTACTAGATTGAAATGTTTTACTTGATTTTTGTATTTTAAAGAATTGATTTACTTTGTATTTCCTCTTTACTGAATTTTGTTTAGATAAGTAATTAACACTTACTAAATATAATTAAAAGAGTTACTTATACATGTCAATTACTTAAGCATTGTCTAATTTTAAGTTTCTGAGGAATTCTGCAATGATAAATTATGCAAATAAGTTTGTAATTATAAATAAATTAATATATACCGTGTTTACCGGTACATGCATCAACTTTATTCTTTTGTCGTAAGGAATATTAGGATGCATGTCCCGAAAACGTCAAGTGCTTTATACATATATTTCCTGCCGTAATGTTAAGTATGTGCAGCTTTATGATTTTATGCATAAAATAAATTGAGCAATTATAATGCAGTTGATGATCTTATGCAGGGAGTTTCTTGGGGCTTTGGCGTTTAGGCCATTTGCCCTTGACCTTGGAGATTTCAATCCTTGTGAAAAAAACTGTTAACCTTGGCCATTACTTTTGAACGATAAGGGATAGGGCTTTCATACTTATATACCCCAGTAGATATAATTCCTGTGAGAAGACCATTCATTAGATACCAAGAACTTTGATCCTTTGACATTAACCTTGGAGTTTGACCCACTTTTAAAAAGCAGACCTTGACTTTAACTTTACAAAGGTTGGATTTAGTGCATTCATACTTTACATATTTCATCCTTGTGACAAGACCTTTCTTTGGGTACCATCAAATCTTACCCTTTGTCCTTGACATTGGAGTTTGATCTACATTTCAAAGTTAGTAAACTTCACCATAACTTCTGAAGGGTTGGGGATAGTGCTTTCTTATTTCAGATATGAATCTTTTATGGCAGGACCTTTCATTAGATACCAATAACATTGACCATTTGACCTTGACCTTTGAGAGATCAAGAAATACCAATATATTGAATTTGTATATAAGAAAAGTTAAACCTTTGCTGTGTTGCCATATGGGGGGGGGGGGGTCAGTATTTCACAAGCACATCTTGTTTAAATTGTATTCAATTGATTTACTTAAAACAATAATTTATTTACTGAATCAAGGAGAATTCAGAGCAGTTGCAATACAAATAATTACTTAAAAATGGTAGTCTAATTACTATCAGGACTGAATTCTTAATGGCTTCCATATTAATTGTCTGTGAGGAGGAGTTATATTTCTTCTAAATATTTCTTCATGTCAAAAAAAAGTTATACTAACTAAAATGTTGTATTAAGTACTTGAAACTATCAACCATTTTTTAATGGTCTTTAAAAATATACAACTTATTCTATTTAGAAGGCGTTTGATATTGGAATTAAATGTTTTATTGCTTAATATAATAAAACAGTTACAAAGAAATAATGTCGATTTTAGTAAATACGATAAATATTTCATTTACTTGGCATTCTCTTGAAGTAATAATATTCTTGATTTTAATAATTAAATTATTAATTTCAGATTTACAATTACTTAGTAATAATTCATAAAACCTAGTAAAAAGAAAGCATATTATCTCTTAATGAAGTAATAAGGATTTACTAAACATGAGTAGTTACTTGTTTCAATCCCATGTACATGAAATAAGTAAATGGTTTATACTTTTATGAGTAAATGAATTACTTGTTTCAATCCCACATGTATATGAAATAAGTAAATGGTTCAAACTTGTATAAGTATTCCAATTACTTAATTTAAGAAAATTATAAAATAAAAATATAAATTTGATCACTAGAAATGAGTAATAAATTGAGTATATAAATAAGTAGTCTTAATACTTATTTTAATACTTATTTCAGTAATTATAATAATAAATAGTAAAAGAATTGACAAGTAATTGTTTTATTGGTATTTACTATTTATTATTGCAGTTACTAAGCAGGATTGCCTTTTACTTACTATTCTGACTAATTGTATTACTTAATGTTTATTGTTTTTCTAAATGCAAATACTTATTTTGAAAATTAATAGTAAAACTTTTTTTAGAGTGTGGGGTTCGCAGGAATCGTGTTGGACGATATCTTTAGGTTCGAGAGCTTCGAACACGGTGTCCGGTGATCCAGGGTATGGAATTCTCGATCTTACAACCTACAAGTATTCATACATGCAGTAAATTTTAATTATCATTTCATTAAAAATATTCTTTTTTCGTTAAATAGGTGGATGGCGTGCTTTGGAAATTTCTTTTAGGTCTACTGATGGCTCAAATCTTTTTTTCAAAAGAATAGTTGCGCCACATGTGCAGGCATGCAAAAATACATTCAACTGATTCAAGACGTTTAAAACAATTAAAATTGTGTACGGTGGAATTATTATATTGCACCTATAAGGATACATACTACCAGTGGTCATTTTATTAATACACAAACATGTACACGTTAGAAAATTAGATGTGTTCATTCTAACATCTATAAAGGTGACTGTGTAGCCCTAACGATGACCAATGATTGCACAGATATTACCACCACTGGGGACGCATACGACCATTCTGGAATGTATAAGATATGCACTTTCTATGATCTACATTATACATAGGAAGAATTAGATGACGTGGTTCCTTGAGGATCTGTACTTTTAAGCACATACTAGTACATATTATGTACGAAACTTCATTACACATTGCATCCTAAATACAACCAGAAGTCTCTGTTGAGATTGTAGCTCTATTGATTTGTACTTATAACAAGAGAGAGGAAGAGAAAAATAGCAGTTGGGACTTGATTTATGCCTTAACTATGTCACGCCAAACGAAACCAAATTTACAAAAATGAACCCACCAGTTTTAAATTTCATAATCAATGAATATGATATATATTATATGCATTGCTCGTTATGGATTACTTGATCTGAACTAAACACTGCCAAGTAAATGCATGTAGTACATTTACCAGTTAACTGCATGATATACAAGATACCTGGCCTTAGATACCGATATACTTATTTAAGTATTTTCAAATAGAAAGAGCAAGGTCTTTCTACAAAAAAAGGTTTGGCTGTCCATAGTATTCACATAATATTCACATGCAGTAGCCTACATTTTGAAGTGACAGAAACTTCTTTACCACAACTTGTTTGATGCTGGTTTGTCTGGGTTCACAGGACAGGACCTCTGCAGGGGCACATCCGCCACAGCGCAGCACCCTTGTACAGGGAGGGAAGTACGTAATAGATGGGTCGGTATCACGTGGTATAACCACCGTCTGGTATCTAGGTGAGCAGTAGTCATACTGAGCAAGATTATCGAAAGAAACTGTAACAAAAAATATATAAACATAAAACAAAGCTGTAATTAACGAAGTCCAATAATTTTACTTTGTATATGTATATTGTATAGAACAGGATTTTGATAAGAACAAACTTCCAATTTACAGAGTTTAAAAATTATTTGTAGCATTGTAAATAACATTTGATTTTTGCGTCATTTATTTTGACGAATTGTATGCCCCCAACCTTTCTACCCTATCAGAATTATTTCACCTCTGAAAGAGTTGGGGGGCGTGGCTGGAAATATCAGTCATGGAATATGTGGAGATAACTATAACAGTATTCGATCGAGCTCCAAAGTTCTTTAAACATTATAAAATAGGAGCAGAGCAGTGACGGACTTCGAAAACATCAGAGGTGGGATCAGGTGCCATGGAGGAGTGAGCATCCCCTACCCAACGGTTACACCCGCCGTGTGCTCCTTGTCATATCCTTGAGTCTGTTTTATACCTTTTTCAATTTTAATCGTTCACGGTTTTCAGAAAAAGTGGATGGATATTGCTTTTTATTATAAGAAGTAAATTGGACTCCTACCTGTACCACCAACAAGCTGTTTGTTTGCATCTGAGTTGAAAAGCTCTGTAATTAAAATGAATATACATCTGAAATACTTAATCATTTATTAGGCACGAGTTTGAATTTTTCTTATTCAATATTGGCTGTCATATTACCTGTAAAATTTAACGGACGTCCATCTTTCCTAATGAATTGAGCGAAATCTTGAGTTCTTGTAATGTTCTTTAAAAGGTTATAGTCTGGCTGCAATGAAATTCAAGCTGTTTGTAGGACAAGTAATAAAAAAAACTTCTGAAGATAAAGGGAAAACCCTTCCAAGACCCAGACCATAGGTGTCGCAGGAATTGAAAGTGTGTGTGTGGAGGGGGGGGGGCAACAAAAAGTTTCAGGTTTAAGCCCCATTTTCAATGCCTATATTATGTCTGAACCCCTCTAATATTTCTTATATACATAAGAAATTATTCACAGTCCCAAGCCTTATGCTTTAGTATTGTAGTAC